GGTAATTATATTATATTAGAATTAAATATTTAATAATAAATTGATTTATTAATTCATTATTTCATAAATAAAAAATTAAGAAACTTGATTTGTGAAATTTAGAACTTATTTTTGTATTTTTGAAATGGTGTAAAGTAAATATTTTAGAAATGTATTGTTCCCTTATATTTATTCTTTAATGCTTCTTTATAACAAACATTTTAATTATGCATGTTGGACACGTGACAATGGATTGAGGCCCATTGGCACGACTCTTGAAAAGTCAAAAGCTACTTTTGAAACTAAAAAAATTGCTTATGAACTTTGTTTGTATGATATTTGGAACTACTTTGTCTATTAGAAGACCTTTTAGAGAAATTCAGGAAATAATTCTATAAAATCAGCCTTAAGTATACCGAAACTTGTCACTTGACCTCAATTTAGTCTTTACTCTGAAAACATTGTCCTATTAGCAAGCCAGTTAAAAGGTAAAGAGTGTTGAAGCAAACAATTTAGAGCTGTACCATTATTCTAACCCAAAGGAAACATTAAAATATGCATTCAGTGTCAATTTGGAAACTATAAAAAATTGAAGTGACAGCTTTCTTTGGGTGTGTGCTAGAGATACTGGTATCGTATCTAATAATTTCCTTTCTCGAACCAAAGAAGCAAGGTACTCGATTATTATCAATTACTATGTATGGCTAGAAATCAATATAGAATAGAAAATTATGATACTATAGCACTTTTTTCAACCCGGTTCTAGTGACCAATTAAAATCAGTTTCTGGTGTATTCAGGAATAGGGTAGATGAAATTAATTATGCCACAAACTGGAGTGGTTGTTGAAAGATGTATGGTTCTTCTATCCTTTGCTAAAGTAGACTTTATACGTATTGAATCCAAGTACCTATCAACTTCCCAGTTTCATGCATGAACGTGGCTTTAGCTACATAATTTTGTTTTTGTTTATATGTTGAATCTATTGTATGTTTTATTTGCTATCAAGATATAGAACTGATCATAAAATGTTAGCGAGAGAGAGAGAGAGAGAGACTAACATCATGACAACGAAGAACACCAAGATGGCTGGTGCAATTGTTGAGAGATCCACAATAGTTTCACCGGAATGCCTTGCATTAACTGTTTCAAAGAGAATGCCAACGACTTTCTGATAAGTATTGAGTCCGCTCAAGCCAGCTGAATTCCACTCGAGAGTGCAGAATAGTATGAACCCTGTGAGAATAAACCCGAGCACCGTCGCTACTAGGAAAGACGAATGCAGGCTAGGAAGCAAGTGGAGGTACCCTACTTTTGTTGTATTCTTCAACAGGTATTTGGCCTCAGCCTTTTTGATTTTCTTCCCCAAAACCCATATCAAAAATCTCAAACACGATGGAAATAACGTATTCCCAAGAAGGATTTGGGGAATAAGAATCCACAAAAGACCTGAATTCTTGCTAAAAACTATCATGTTTTCATTTGTGGGTACAAAACCACAACTAGCAAAGGTTGAAACTATTGTAAAGACAGCAAAAGTGAATGCATCAATACCCTTTTTTCTCAGTACATCTTTTGCACTTGGAAAAAGGGCTAGATACACTGAAACAGATGCAACACCTAATATTTGAATTACCAGAAGATAGCCTAAAACTACGAAACCCAAAAATTTGATTGAATTGTAGTTGAGAATCATGTTATAATATGGTGATGAGGCATATTTTTGAGGCTCAAACGGGTGTGCTCTGTAGTCGGAGACTGGATGTGTACTTAACTGAATTTGATCAACAGAATAGTTGGGATCAACAGTAGTTGCTTTTCCTTCAGTTTTCCAGGCTGTTTTAATCTTGGACCTCTTTAAATGAAGTCCTACCATGGAAGTGAAAATTTCACCGCCTATGAACATCAAGGTGGTCATTACGATTAATTGTGCGTTGGAGAAAACTTCCATTTCGACTGTGGACATGCTTGAGACTGTGGTAGCAGACACAGATGTGAAAAACAAATCTATGTTCCTAGGACTAAACTCAGTTCTTGGCTTTAAAACCTTAAGAACCGAAAATCCTAGAAAGGATAGAAAGACAAAATAAAAAACCTGGATAAAAAATGGGTTTATGAGCTGAAGAAAATTGTGGTAAAACCAACAGATAACGAAACATGTTGATTGCCAACAACAAGTAGAAAGATGCTGCAATTTCTTTCCATAACAAGGAAATTTGTACATCTTTAACTTATTTGAACAATATTATTCTGTTTGTTAACAAAGCAACTTAGAAATAAGGTGGCTAAGCTTATATAAGTCGAGTTTTGTATTACATCATTCTTTTCGAGGTAGCTGGAAGTCATTGTGCACATCCTAAATAAATTAAACAAACAAAAATTCTTAGTAGCAAATTCAGCCCCGGTTTCATGGGCTTTTTTTGGGAACTTTTTTTCTATACTCATTTTCAAACATATATTCATACAATAAAATATTTTGTACGTAAATCTATATTTTTTTTCTATTTTTAATCACGTATTCATCAAAAATTCAATATCCAAAACATTGTTTTTTTCTCAAATAATAACCACCAAACGGGCTCAGTTGCACGGTCTATTGAGTCAATTGGGAACATTCGTACTCCCACTCTAGCTGCCTAGGCAACAGGGGATCGACATGTGGAAACACATGGGTTATATATGTTCCCCCACGGATAATACACTGAATTATGCCTTTTTTTTCTAGGGCAATGTACAGTTCTGATTATTCTCCATTGTGGACTTTAGTGTACAGACTTACTCTTGTAAAAATCGTAGATCATACCGAATTAATTAAATACTAAATTGTTTGGAGAAAATACGATATAACAGTTATTATATGAAATAATTGATCACAAGAATGTGAGAACAAAATAATTTGTAAAGATTTGAGATTTATTAAAATATGGAGAAAGAAAACAAAGATTTGTGTTTACTAACTTTGTCTAACTTCTTATGAAATCATAATGAAGAGCCAACTATATATAAGAAACAAGCAGGAACATTCAAACTCTAATAGTAGAATTATAGTTGAAGTACAAAGCAAAAGAAATCATCAAACCCCAAGAAACAGCTCTGGGCCGAATAACACCGCCATCCGAGCCCTATCGCTCAAGCAGTATGCTAGCACCACGTGGGCGTCGCTTCTCTGCTTTTGGTGCTCAATTGCCCAGAAGTTAGAGAAAATGGAGCAGGTAAATCCTTTGGTCCATAATTTCGATCTCTTCGAGTTCAACACAAATTCCTACTCTCAATGAGACCTCCAAATATAATTTCAACTAGACTTTGCCAAATAAACATGGATAGGATTTCAACATTTCATATGTATTTCTTCTTAATGTATACTTTAATTAGAACTTCTAATTATCTTCAATAAAGAATTCGAGTCACATCTCAATTGTAACAATCTTTATTTTGACACAAATTTCACTGCAATGCACAAAACTTGAAAACAAAAAAAATTCTCCACCTTAAAATAAATTCCACTGTAAGGAATAAACTTGAACCATTAAATGAAAAATATAAACGAATTTCTCCTTAAAAAAAATTCCAACTAGAAACATTATTCACCTTTTGTAACGGCTCAAAATATATGAAATTAACGGGCACAATTTAATTGATAAAAACTCATAACCAAATAAATATTAAAAAAATGTGCATATCGCATTTATTAGATAAATAATAAAATGTTAATTCCACTAATAAAGCATAACATAGTTTCAAATTTATAACCCAATAAAACATGTTTTAAATTTCTAAATAAGAACCTTGCGAAATAAAACTAAGAAATTGCTAAAATTTAAAGAAAAAAAAAGTGCATTGTTATACCGGATTATTTTTATTGAGTTCCATAAATTCTGGTACCACGACTGTACCTCACTGTCCGCCAACCAACAACTCGTTCTAACCTATGAGGTATGGGAAAAATTTGTGAGTATATGAGAATATTCAATATGACACGAATTAATGGTACAATCCCGAATAAAAATATTAAATCATATGTCAAAAATATCATACCGTCAATCATATATTTAAAAACCGGTAAAAGCTCAAATATATCATATCTTTGGTACCAAATGGCCTTACATATCATAACATAACATATCATATCGTAACTTTCATTAGCATAATATTTATCCATATGAAAAATAAATTAAACGGGATAAATCATTTGCACCTTGTAATTGTATCTCGTTTGATAAAAAAAAATTGTTGGAAGAAAAAGCAAGAATTTCATGTGTTCCCAAATCTTCCCAAATGTTTAATTTTTATTTGCTACCACAATAATACGTATCTATGTTTTCTCTTTTCTTTTTAAGGTAGATAATTGTTATTTTATATGGTATTTAAAATTGAAATGGGGAAATAGCCTAAAAATCTACAAAATACCGTGTCCCCCCAAAGAAGGTCAAAATCCCAGTTCTTCATACAATTAAAAATCACTTCATTTCCCATTCAACAAAAGTGGCATGCTATCATTACCAATTTTTCAAAATCAAGGCAATTAAATAGTATTGAAATAGAATTAATTGACACATTTTCAACTTCTCCTACACACGTGGTTGCCTGACAATTTTATTATTATTTTTAATATAAAATCCTTATTTAATAAAAAATTAATAATTTACCAAGAACCTACTCTACACATTTGTCACCCCTTATTCTAACACATTAATTAATTTAATTAAACAACAATTTAAGATAATATATTTTGACCTCGATAAATTGAGCCTCGTTTATTTGAATTAACTTTTTCTCGAGTCTAATATGCATGATTAATTACTATATATTCAATGAGCCTAATATCCATATATTTATCATTGCTCCAGAAGTTTTTGATTGTTGATTTGCAGTCGATTTTGATTTATTCTTCAACTTATAATAATTGTTTATCAAGTGCCCATTTCTCTTGCAATAATTACAAATTTTGAAACTAGATTTTGACTTGCCACTTGAATGACCACCATTAACAATGAGGTTATCTCCATGGCCCTCGTATACTACAAGATACTTCATCTTTTCCTTTGAATATACAGTATTATAGTCTTCTTCGATTTTGAGAGTATCATAACTATATAAACTTATATCTCTAAAAGTCATATATGAAGCGAGCAATGAAAATAATAAAATCAATCTCAAATCTTCTTCTTTATATTTGACTTCCAAGATCTCCAAATCAGCGACTATTTCCTTAAAAGCAGGTAGGTGATCCTCAAAACATGTACCTTCTATCATATGTTGAGAATATAGACGTTGCTTCAAATACAATTTGATAGTAAGACTTTTCGTAATGTATAGTTGCTCCAATTTTAATCATAATGCAACAGATGACTTCTCTTTCAAAATGTCTTGAAATATATTCTTTGAAAGATGAAGATGTATTTGAGATGGGGTCTTTCAATCCCTCCGTTGTTTCTCCTCGATAGTTTAAATTGTGGACATTTTGTCGAATCCGAACAATGTATCGTTCAAATCCATTTGACCACGTACTGCTCGTATTTTTCTAAAAATTTCAAAACCAAAATCTCTAGATACTAGTTTTTTGTGAAAAATGGAGATGATACCAGATTAATCCAATATCAAATTATTGGAGAAAATAAGAGATTATAGCCACACTATGAAATAATTAATCACAAGAATACATGAACAAAATAATTTGTAGAAAATAGAGATTTTATTATAATATGGAGAAATAATACAAAGATTTATGTTTACAACTTTATCTAACTTCTTACTACATCATAATGGAGAGACAACTATATATAGGGAACACATATGGGACGTCCTAACCCCAAAAATAAAATTGTAATTGAAGTAGAATGCAAGAAAACTTGTCAAATGCTAAAAAAGGCTTGAGCTTAATAACACCGCCTTTCGAGTAGGTGGCTAGAGCTAGGCTTGCGATGCCCTGTCTCTTGAGCGGTAGGCTAGCACCAGACAGGCACGACGTCTCTGCTTTTGGCGCTTGAGTGTTCAGCTAACTCCAGACTAGAGAAAATATGACGGAAAAACTTTCAGGTCCATAATTTTAACCTCTTCAAGTCCAATATGCATACAAATGATGAGTTGATATATAGAAATTCATAACATTTCGAGGTTTAAAAATATGTACAAAAAGTAGAACTTTTTTTTAACTTTTTTTTATAGAAAGATACTAAGGTGAAAATATACAATGTTCTGGAAGATGCATATTCTTGGACTAAAAGTTTTCTAGATTAAATACGTAACTATTCCCTATGTATGTATGTATGTATGTATGTATACTTATAGTGTGTTGAAGGCGGAGATCTAAATCATATTGGGTTCGAAAGGACGGCAAAGGCTTAGGATAACACGAGCACGTGTACATGCTTGGGTTGTATTTGGTTTGATTAGGTTCACATGCAACTGAGTCCTTATCATATATAAATCTTTTTGAACAAATTTATTTAAATTTTTGAATCATTATAATTAATCAAATTGTTTGGTACTTAGTGAATTTATTTTTAACCGCATTTTAAATTTTATCGTTGACTTGTTTCAGCTTATTTTTCTAGTATGACCGTTTGGGTACATATGTGATCGACGCCTTTTTTTTTTTAACAGACTGTAATAGACGTTTGATAATAGAGCTTAATAGACATATTGTTATTTCGAAAAGAGTCCTCTCTTCATTTTTGGGTGCTGTCTAAACTGTCACCATTATTCAGAAAATGCTGTCAATTTTCTTAAAAGATATAAATATTAAGGATTTTTTTTTTCTTTGGAGTATCTCAAACATTTTCCAAAGTTTCTAAAGAATCTCAATTTCGAAAACGTGTTCTGGACAGATGTGTGCATCTTACAAGTAGGCATGCAAATTAAATTCTCGTACTATTTTAGATGTAAAGTATTTTTTGTCTGAATTTAGAATAATGTTCTTTATAAAATTTTATATTCTGAAGTGATAAAGTA